TTGAATCACTTTTTTTTGCTTTTTTGATGTCGACAAACTATTGTCAACCTATTTTTTCTTAATTCCAAGGGTTGTGTATATATATATATATATATATATATATATATATATATATATATGTATATATATATATATATATATATATATATATACATATATATATATATATATATATATATATATATATATATATATATATATATATATATATATATATATATATATATATATATATATATGTATATATATACAATAGAAATATAGGTTTGCAATCAATCAAAGGACTATATAATTTCTTTAATAATAAGTATAATCCATTTACTTTAATAAAATTTCCTAGATAATAAAAAAAAAGGAGAAATTAAGGAGTGTTTCACATCGGTTACTTAGTAAATTGTTAATAGCATTCCAACACGTGATATAGTGGTTATTCATATGTTAATACAGTTATATGAGAGACAGGTGGGTAGAAAATTTCCTTTAGATTAAAGGAAATTTTCTACCTTCCTGTCTCTTATATAACTGTTATGACTGGTTTAATTTTCTTAATTAGACTTATTTTTTAGTCAAAACTTTTGAACTTCACTAATAACTAATTACTAAAGTTAAGTAATTGGTTATTAGCAAAGTTCCGAAACTTGATATTGTAATATTTCAAAAAGTTCATTAACTAATGTACTGGTCCAATTATTTCGAATAGAACAATCTAAAAGTTGTTAATTAAAGATATTGAATTATATTGAATTATCAGCATAAACTCTCTGTATTATTAATAGGTTTTCCCTTTGAAAAATATGACTATGCATGAGATTCTGTGATGTCTAAGTCTTTCAAACAGTCAGAACTTGGTTCTTGATATAGTATATTAATTATTATACTTGAAATACTATATCAAGTGTCAAGTATATACTTTATATATATATATATATATATATATATATATATATATATATATATATATGTATATATATATATATATATATATATATATATATATATATATATATATATATATATATATATATATATATATATATAATATATATCATATACCCAGTTTTTAACTATTTATTTTAATATCTGTATCAATTTCAATATATGTATCAATATTAATATGATTCTTAAGTAATTAAATGTTTAAATATATATATATATATATATATATATATATATATATATATATATATATATATATATATATATATATATATATATATATATATATAAATTAGCAAGAACCTGTCTATAAGTCACTTTTCATAAGGTGCTTTTAAAATTCTCCTTGAATCTTTGGAAAGTTCCAAACCTTGATTTGGTAATATTTCAAGAAGGTCATTAACTAATGTACTGGCTCCATTATAAAATAGCATAATGTTGTCGAGTAAAGACATTGAATTCAAAGAATTATCAGGATAATTGTTCCATGTATCTTTAACAGGTTTTCCTATTGAAAAATTCGATTCTGCATGAGATGTCTAAATCTTTGAAATTGTTAGAACTTGGTTATTAATATAGCAATACTATACTAATAGTATATCAAGTATATATATACATAGTATAGCATATATTCAGTTTTAAAGCGTTAAAAATTTCTGTAAAAATTTCATTACCTGTATCAATATTACCACAATTTTCAATTGATAACAAAAACAAAAATTAGATGGAACGTGTCAATTAGTTGTTGTAAAAAGACTTCTTTTGTAATTGAAAAAAAAACTTTATTAAAAATGCGTTACTTAAAAATTTTGAGAAGTTTTAGCGCTTGCGTGATTTAACTGATTTTTTTTTATTTAACAAAGCATTCTGGATATTTTTTGGACGAAAAAATTATTGGATGCGAAAAAGACGTTCAAAAGACCTTTAGAATTTTAATGGGACGGACGGACGCGATTTGAACGTCCTAAGGACGTCTTTTTTACGTCCTGTGCCCACTGGGCAGCGAGTAGGACACAAAGGCTTCAGGTTCATAATAGTACCTCCGTCAAATTTCTTATATGAATTCTTTATCATGGTAGATGTGAGCAGAGTGTGAGCCACGCAGTGGCGTTCCTAGTTATGGTGTCACCCGGGACGGCAAATAGGGTGTCACCCATATATTATATGTAATTATTTTTATATACGAAATTATTAAAGCAGTATTTAGAAACGTTGACACATGTAATTTTAAACCTTGTTTTCGACAATAATAATTTAGTGTCTATAACTCTCTATAAATAATTCTCGTCTATAACAGAGAAAATAATTATTTGAAAATAAACCCAACGGGCATTTGTTGGTTTAAAATTAGTTTAGATCGCGTTTAGATGGCATTTACGTCAATCTAAACGTTTAGGAATTTATTCTAAACGTGTTCTGAATATTAATTTGCGTTGAAAACAATTTCCGTACGGAACTAACTTAATTAAATTAGTTTCGCACAGAATGTGTCGGACATTATAATTAAAAATTAGAATTTCTCATGAATCTTAAATTATGTAATAAATGGTTTAGAAAAGATAAAAGAAATTTGTTTTTATTATTATATGGTGGCTAATGAAGCAGCTAAAAAGTCTTGTAAGTCCTTCGATAATATTATATAAGCGATTAAAAGTAATTTTAAGTACAGTGACAATGTAACTTTGAAAATTCTTTTTTTTAGTTATTGCTACCAAAATAGCAGTTTCAAAAAAGTAGCAGTAGTCTCAAAAAAGTATGATTTTTAGCATTTTTTAAAACTGTTTCTTAAATTGTTTTTTCTGTTTGGTTTTTAACAACGTTATAAAACGTCTATAGTTAACTCTTAGCTTCCTAATTTTACTACTTTTACTAAAAGTAGAAAAATTATGAAAAATAGTTACCAATTAAATTGCATAAATTTTCTCTAAAGGTTTTAGAAAAAAATTATGCATTTTAAGTGGTAACTATTCTTGAAATAACTAATTAAAATTATTATTGTTTCTTTATATTAGGTAGGACCTAACATCTATTTGTTTATGATAGATGTTATATTGATTGAATAGCAATATTATAATATTTATACTAGTGCTGTCAGTGCCAACCAAAAATTGTGAGGTTCAAATATTTATATAATTGATCTTCAGTTTTAGTGTAGGCTTTTAGTGTAAACATTCATTTATTTTCTCTTTAGTAGAAAAGTTAACATGGTTTGAACAATAATAAATAAAGCTATATTACATAATTTTCTAAAATCTGCGCAAATATATTTTTTATTGTTAATTAATTTTTGCGTGTTTAATTTCATTTTATATTCTATATACAGTCCAGTCAGTTCAACTGACTGGACTGTATATAAAATATAAAATGACTCATGAAAAACCTACCAAGCCTGAAATTTTACAGGTCGAAATAGTTTAGTATGTATATGTATATCATCCCTCGGAATTAGGAAAACTAAAGTCAGCGAAAAAAGCTAAAAAACCAGACGACTAAACTTATTTAAAACACTTTTAACAAGTTTAGTTACAAGTTAATGTTATTTGTTGATGTACCTTCAACCAGATTAGTGTTAACATTTTAGCAAAATGTCATATCGCCAGGCTGTTTGGTTGGAAGAATCAAAAGCTTGATATTTTATTGAATTGTTATTTTAGTTTGTGATATTATAATTTTTATTCACAAAATGTTAAATAATTTACTTTTTAAATTTATTTGTCATTGCTTTGGATAAGATGTTTTGATATTCCTTTTACAGATTGTTATGAGGATTGCAAAAGTTTTAAAAATCAGAAACTGAAGAAGGCATTGATAATCAGCAGATATCAAAAAAGCACAAAAGTACTGATTAAACAACTCTTTTAAAGGTTTTATTTTAATTTGTTAATGTTTATATAGAAACTAATAATATATAAACTGAAAATAATAACATATAATTAATCCATAATTGTGCATTATTCCAATCTAAATTAATTTTTTTTTTTTCAATTTCTTCGGAGTTAATATTACTAGTTTAATGCAATTACAGTTGAAATGGTTAATTGTGGAAAAATTGCACTAAAAATTGAATAAATAGCTTGTTAAAGCAAATAATATTATATGTAGATATATATATATATATATATATATATATATATATATATATATATATATATATATATATATATATATATATATATTATATATTTAAAAGTAATAGTTTTAGTTTTTTCAATTTTTTTGTTTAAAAAAAAGAAGCAAATTTTAATAAGTAAATGATTAACCATTTTTACGATATAGTAAAATAGTTTTTATTTTAAGTTGAGGAAGAATTTTTTTAATTTTAATGCAAAAGGTACGAATATTGACAGGTTAGCTAATTTGATGTTACAATAAACATGAAATAAAGTATGTGAAGACCTTAGTGCTAGAAGTACTTGCATGCATTATTCATCCATGCTATATTATAATATAGCATGCATGCATGATGCAATCAAGTATAAATAAAAAGTTACAAATGTTTAATTATACAAAAAGATTATGGATGTGGTACCGCTAGTGATCGACCGGCACTGAAATTTTGCCGGAACCGAACCGAAAATAGATTTTAAATATTCCTAACCGGAACCGGAACCAAAAGTAAACCCTAACCAGAGCCGAAACCGAAACCGGAACCGAAAATAAATAATAGTTTTTGTTTGCAAGTTTATTCCAATTAAAACACAAAGTTAAATTAATAAAAAATGATTAATAGCAGAATCCAACAACTGCAAGATTTTCTCGACTAAAAAGGAGTTTTTCCAAATTTTCTGGAAGGAGTCTGTTTCTTTCGTTAGATAGAATATCTCCAGCCGTAGAAAACAATCTTTCAACATCTGTGGATGTTGGGGGTGGTGTGAGGTACTTTTTTGCCACCTTAGTCAATGCTAACTTGATTTTGCTAGTCGCATTTTTTTCATAGTTTTTCCAAAATTTTAGGCAATGAGAAGCCATTGGACAATCCAAAAAATCCTTCAACACTTCCCTCGTCATTTTGGAAGATGAATGCTCATTTGGTCCTGTTTGAGACTGTGCAATAATTTTTGACATTATGTGCGAGAATGCCGTGTTTTTTTCATTGTCACCGATGGAATTTGAGTAACAGGAGCCAATTCATCTTCAAGAGGTTCAAAATTCTCCATTTGGGACATGACAATGTGTTTGGCATTTTGCAAAGCAGCTTGAGATCGGAAAAAATACCATTTGTATTTTGGATTAAGTAAAGTAGCAACTGAATAATGTTCTGTTTTTTCAATTGCTGAAAAACGTTTTTCCATTGCATTTTTCATAGCTATTTTCAATTTCTGAACACTGACGTCGCCGGAGGTTGTTTCCAAAGCTTTAATTATTGTTGTCACAATTGGAATGCAGGAACTGATACAAGAATCACTACCTGACAACATTTTTGTTGCCTCCTCAAAAACACTTAAAATCCTCACCACTTTTTCATAGAGGCTCCAATCTTGGACGGAAAATTCAATTCCCACAGAAGGAAATTTGAGTAAGGTTGCAGCAATGGCTGGTTTCAGGTGTAAAATTCGCTCAAGCATGTAATAGGTAGAGTTCCATCTTGTGGCAACATCGTTTTTTAAGCCAAGTCTGTCTTTTCTATCCATTTGGATTTCTTGCTGTCTGTAAAGTTCAGTGTAGAAACCAATAGAATGGGATGCGTAAGAACAAAGTTTTCGACTCTTTTCAATCAGTTCGTTGATGGTAGGATCTGATAATAGGTCTTTTTTTATCACAAGTTGAAGGGAGTGGTTAAGGCATCCAGCTGACTTATAATTACAGCTTGGCTCATTGAAGGCTGCTTTTACATTTGCTGCGTTGTCTCTTAAGCAAACTCCAATTTTTGAAGAAATTTCCCATTCCTCTGCTGCTGCTTTGATCTCTTTGAAAATATTTTTTGCAGTATGACTTTCATCAAATGGAGAACAAGAGATGCAGAATTTGACACGGTTCCAGTCTTTGGAAATAAAGTGAACAGTCATTCCCAGATAGCCATGATGAAATGATGACCATGCATCAAGGCAGACAGACACATTTTCAGCTTCTGATTGAACCAGCTTTTCCTTGAGAGCAACTTTAATTTTTTCGTAAGTCGGATCCAGTAAACTTCTGTAGTATTTTTCGCTAGCAATTTCGTAATTTGGAGCAATAAGAGCATGGTGCCTCAAAAATCCAGCATCGTTGACAATAGACCATGGTTGGAGGTCAAGAATCATCATTTCAAAAATTGACTTGTGAAATTTTTGGCCTTTTTCAGAATTAGAGTCAATTTTTGAAGAAGCTTGAACCCAGTTTGGAATTGTAGATTTAAACATGTCGGATCTTTGTTTTTTTGATCGCATGTTGAAGATTGTAACTGCCTTTCTCTTATTGGAATTTAAGTCAGCTTCTTCATTTGCCTTTGGATTTTCTGCTTTTTCGGGCGTAAGTTTGATGTCAGGATGATGATTCTTCAGGTGTGACGTGAGTCCACTTAATCCTTGTTTTTTTGGGTCGTCAGATCCTCTTGAAACTTTGCTGTTGCAGATTTTGCACTGAACCATTCTTGGATTGTTTGCTTCAATTATGAAGTACTTCTACACTAAACTTGTTTTTCGGTTTGAGCTCATTTTATTAGAATGAAATCGAAGAACTTAATCAGATGAGTTTTTTAATGTTGCTAGTTTGAGTCAAGAACAAGGATTTAAAATATAATTAACAAGTTCTTTGTTAATTATATTAATTATTAATTATATTAATTTGTATTAATATTGTTGTTAACTTAACAATATATATATATATATATATATATATATATATATATATATATATATATATATATATATATATATATATATATATATATATATATATATATATTTATATATATAAATATATATATATATATATATATATATATATATATATATATATATATATATATATATATATATATATATATATATATATATATATATTTAAGAAAAATTTCTTACGTTACATTAAAAAGTTCAATACATTAAAAAGTTCGTTAAAAAGACAATTAACAATTTAAACGAGAAAACATTAAAAAAGTTATAACGACAAGAAAACATAATTGTTTTAATGTTTTAACGACGAGAAAACATTAAAACAACTTGCTTTAAAAAAATGAATGAAACCAATAAAAACTTTTTTAATTTTTTTCAAACAAATTCCACGTGATAATTTAAAAAAAAATCACCAAGTTCGTGAAGATTTTACCGTTACCACTTCCATGCGATAATTAAAATAAATAAATAATCAAGTCCATAAACATATGACTCTACAATGTAGATAACATTGTAGCGTCATTAAATTTGTAGATCATGATATTTTAAACGGTAGGCTCTCTTGTCAAACCGTTATTCCGACGCTGTCCTCAAGGTCCGAAAATGTAAAAAAACGACTTTTTTTATTTAAAAGAGAACCTACCTTCTCCAAACCCTCAGTCGTTGTTTCCACACTCCGCTGCATGTTTTCTCTAAAAATCAGTCGGTGTATGTGCACACCGCAGCGTAAATCCCTATATACCCCATTTCGCCTATTTTGTAGAAATTCAAGCTCGCGGACGCAAAGGACGCTCAACGTCGGAATAGGGGTTTGACAAGAGAGCCTACCACTTTAAACATGATAATTAAAAACCAGATAAAAGTAACAACGCGATCGGACGCAAAAAATAATATAAGAAGTTGAATTAACTAGCAAAAAAATTCCGGCCGAAACCGAAATCTCAAATCTAGCCGGAACCGAAACAGGAATTTCGATTCCGGCCAAATTTATGACCGGAACCGAAATCGAACCGAATTTCGGTCGATCACTAGGTACCGCAAGTATATTCAACTGATTATGCAAGTAAGTTGTCATACTTTACATCTTTGAAGGCTAATAATAATTGTAATGAACATATCTCAAACAATATAGACTCGGATTTACATTTTAGTTAAACCATCACCACTTCCACAGCCACCTTGTCTCAAGCATTCAATTGCATTCTAAGATATCTTTATTCAAATCAATTGTGACTACTATACCAAAAGACTGTAGAATGGACCAATCAAGTAAGATGTCTAATTTTAAATCTTTTATATAGAACTCCTTTACTTTCAGATAAACCTGTTAGTTTTATGACTTATGAACATATTTAGCAATGTAATCCTTTTAAGATAGACTTTTTAAAATCAAATTTACAATGCTTTAGTAAATTTTCATTTAAAATAACTTTGCATAAATAATATATCTATATAGTTATTTACATTGAACCTAACCCATCAGTATTTGCAAAGTCTCCTTTTCTGTTAGCCCGAAGACAGAGTTCTAAAATACCATTATTCACATAACTACTATATCACAGCACAAACTAATGGATTGATCAAGTAATACTTAATTTTTAGCTTGAGTTGCATGTTAGTACACATATGATATATAAATTTTAATTATTATGTTTATTGATTAGTTTTTAACTTTAAGAACTTTAAGAAATACAATTTTATTTTTACATGTTTATTTCTATTGTAGTGAAACTGTCGGTATCTCCACAACTTTTCAATTCAAAAGAAAGTTTCAATCAAACAGGATACTGAGTGTGTCTACTGCTCCTCAAGACAATGGATAATGGGAGTTATCAAACTTTATATATATATATATATATATATATATATATATATATATATATATATATATATATATATATATATATATATATATATACATTTTATCGAACTTTTTATATATATATATATATATATATATATATATATATAAATGCTGTACAGATATTGTTATAAAGTAATACAATACTGTATAATATTGTATTACTATGTTTAGGAAGGGCACTGCGGTTGTCCTGCAGTTATGCAACTTATTAACCCATAACTGCGATAACTACAAGTTTTTTTAATAAGGTTTCTATTATATAAATGTTATATTTTACAGAGTTTTAAAAAAAAGTTTTCTATCAATTGTTACTATAGTTACTCAATGTACACTGTACTAATGTACAATCTATAAAACTCTGGATGTATAAAGTTGTTAGATGAATGATTTATATGAATAGAATCAAGATGTTTATTGAGTTCTTTTTATTATTTAAAAAAAAAAAAGAGATTGTATGACTTCGGTATCCGCAATACGGTATCGTGCATTGGTGGAAATAGGAAAGGTTATGTCCTTTTTTCTACGAGAAGGCTTAATCGGTTCAAGCAAAGATGACGATAATTATTATGGACCCGATCATGATGACGAATACGATAATGCATATAATAATAAATAAAATGATTTTACTTAAAATTTATTTCTCCAAAGCTTATGGTGGCCAAGCTTCAGATAGACACATTACAGAGGACTGCAATGTTATTAATATGTTTTCTGAAGGATCTGTTTGCTTGGCTGATAAAGGTTTTAATATCCAAGATTTGCTCTTAAAAAAAAAAGTCGTATTGGTTTGTCCACCTTTTAAAAAAAAAGGACTACATTTTACACGAACTAAAGTCCTCTCAGCCAAAGAAATTGCTAGATCACGAGTCCATGTGGAGCGATCAATTCGACGACTTAAAGAATTTAAAATATGTAAAAACGAGTTATCACTAACAATGCTAGATCTCATTGATTACATATATATTATTTGTGGAGCTTTAAGTAATTTACAACCCTCAATTGTAAAGGAATTTATCTGATGTAAATTAAATATGCTGATACTAATAAAAAGATATCTCTATTTTTTCTTTTTATTTTTGTATAAAAAAAAACAAAACATCACAAAATACTTATAATATAAATGTTTTCATCAAATTTTCAGCACAATGTCATATTTTTTGTTGATCAAGATTTATGATGTCGTTTGTTAATTTTTCATTAACTTGTTTACTGTTTGAATCATTAATGCATTTCTTTATGAGATCATTTAAAATTGTAGTAACTATTTCTTTTTTCTCAAGTTTCTTAGTTATCAATTCAGGGAAAACATACTCTGTAAAAAATTTCTGAAATTTTTGTTCATTTTTTTTATAGTTAGGATCAGAATAAATTCTTTCACAGTTTTGATCACTTGCTAAACATACATAGAAATCAGCATGAGGATAGCCACTTATAAACAACTGGTGTTGTATTTGGGTGCGATATTGATGACTACTTTTCAGTGAGTATGTGTTAGTACAAGAATTTTTTTCAAAAAAACTTTCAGCACTTTGAGCATATTCACATATTTTTTTCTGCCTAAATGTCCATGGACATTTAATTTCAAGCAAACCCAACCCACAACAAGTACAACTTGTTATACCATCTGGGCTTGCTGTAAGATAAGGTGTTTTGATGGATACTATTAGGCCGGTTTGATAACATGTAAAGTTTTTATGAGTTTTTTTCATTTCCCTGATATATCTTTTTCGAGCATAGGATTCAAACATGTTACCCCATTGAATTGATTTACTTATAGCATTATTTTTGTAACATAAAATTTGAGCACATAAATTAAATGCTGCCCTTTTGTTTTTCACTTTCAAGTCAACATCAAATTTTGCTATGACAGCATGAGCAATAGATGATGATATTGTTCCAACTCTATATGATTTCCAAAGTAAACTTTTTGATTGAGATATCGTAGCTTCTTTTATAAGTTCTGCTTGAGATAGTGTTATTGAAAACGTCCTTAAAAATTTTTCACATTTAAATGTTATTGATTCATTCTTATAAGAACATTCTATCTGAGCTACATAATGCTCTATGGTAGGTGGTAGCACTTTGTTTTTAGTTGCATTTAAAGGTAATTTTTTCATAAAGTATTCTGACTGTATATTTGGCTTGAGGCAAATTACAGCACATTTTCCATCTGTTGCTTCTGCAACTGCTTCCCAATCTTCCTTTGTAAACTCTGACTGCTTTAAATAATAAGGACGAGGATCATATAAGAATCGACTGAGTTTTAGATTACTATTTTCTAAGCTTGATTTGACTTTTTTAATGGAAATATTTTGAAATATATCTGGCTCATGCAATTTTCTCTTCTGTGTTTTAGTCCCCCACTTTTGTTTTACTGATGTGCATGTTACATTATCTCCTAATCGCACATGCTCTTCGACAAACAACAACAAAGCAAATATATGTTTGCAGCTTTCTCCATAACCGGCTACACAATTGCATTCTGCAGTGAATATACTTCCGTTTTTATTCAAACATACCCATGATTCATATTCTTCATCATTTATTCTTGTTTGAGGGACTACAGTTCCTTTTAAATAACAAAATTTTACAGCTTTATCAGATATAAGCTGTTAAAAGCAACTGAGGTTACATGACCTGAAGAATAAAGAGAATGTCCTTCTTTCAAGGCTTTAGAGCTGTGAGTGAGAAAAGAATAAGTTTCAATGTCCAAATAGTTTGTGGTTGGTAATAATTTTATTACTACTTCTTTTTCTAACACCCAATTTCCGATTTCAAAAGGATGGGGAAGCTGGACACCTGATTTTAATTTTAATTTTTGAAGAGATCTGGATTTAATTTCATCAGTTTCTTCTTGTACAGTTTTATTTAATGGTAATTTAAGTTTATT